ATTTCAATGGAAGTGGTTATGATTTTAGTTCATATCCTCACAGACATTTTGTTTGGGATTTTATCTGAAATGTGCGGCACATTGGACATTTGGAAACCATTATCTTCAAAATCATGGAAACGAAAGCTGAGAGCCTCTGTAAAGCTGACTGGGTCTTAATAACGGAGGAAGGCAATGCTTAGCCCTGGTGCATAAAAATTGCTTTATGTTCTCTCAACCACCTTTTTACCCATCCCCAGGATGTACCCTGCACTGCCTCCAGTCAAGAACAGTGCCCAGACTGGGCATGGTGGCTCACATCTGTAATCCCAGCACTTTGGGAGGCTGAGGTGGATGGATCACCTGAGGTCAGGAGTTTGAGACCAGCCTGGCCAACATGGGGAAACCCTGTCTCTACTAAAAATACAAAAATTAGCCGGGTCTGGTGGCGCACGCCTGTAATGCTAGCTATTCAGGAGGCTGAGGCAGGATAATCACTTGAACCCGGGAGGCAGAGCTTGCAGTGAGCCGAGATGCACCACTGCCCTCCAGCCTGGGCGACAGAGCAAGACTCTGTCTCAAAGAAAACAACAACAATAAACAGTACCCAGATGCCATGTGGCTCTCCTGCAGGGATGACCCGCAGCCATCCCATGCTGCAGAAGCCTACTCAGGGTAAGCAATAGGCCCAAAATGAATTCATTAATTAACAAGGGTGATGGGAAATTGTAAACACAGCTGCTGGCTGTTGGCTCTGCAGACCTGCCTGCATATGGCAAGTGCAGAAATCTTGTGTGGTAACACAGCCATACTGTCTGGGGCTCCTTAACTGAACTCGGCAGAATATCTTTGGCAAAGGAGCCAACAGCAATATGGCAGTCTCTCCAGAGGTACCCTGAGGCAGGACTCCTTTTTGCTTGGAGTTTCTCTCCTTACAGTCAAGCTGATGATGACAGAGTCTTGGCAAAGAGTTGGACGAGAGCAGCCACCCATTTACAAACAGGCATATTTTCCAGTCATTGAGCAATTATGTTTTTGATGAGTTCCCAGAAGAGACAATAGCTGACCTTTTCTTTATAGCCATCTTTTAGTAGTGATTACTTAACTTTCACCCAGAACTGGGCCACAGCAGTTTTCTGCCTGGGAGGGACACATTTATTCCTTTAGCAGACCAAGTTGTTTGATATACAAGATAGTACCTTACTTTCCAGAGATCTAGGGTCTAGAAAATATTTCCATACTTGCTTTTTCATAGGAACTCACCTATGGATGAAGAAACCAAGGTTCGCAGACCTCAAGGAACTTGCATGAGGTCAAATAAAAAGCAAGTGGGAGGTCTGAAACTTGGATCTTCAGTCTCTGCACTCTGCATTCTTTCCACTACATCCTACAGGCTCCACCAGGCCTTTGGAAAGGAGCAGGAACACATAACGAAGTCTGACTATTGGCCCGAGGTGTTGGAATCCCTCAACACGCTGCTGGAACCAGGGCTCAGACTTGCTGACGAACACTTGCTGCGTCAATATTTGCACCAAAACAAAGCTCATTGACAGTGTGTTCTGGTAGCAGAAAAAGAAAACACATGAGGCAGCTTGTTTGTAATTAAAAATGAGGAAAACAAGTAGACCCACAGGCAGGCCCAGGATGAGGGTGCTCTGATGAATTCCTTCCTACTCTGGGCAAAGTGTTTTCCGTTTGTGCTTCAGAAGGCCCACATGATGTCTAGCGCTCCTGGAATTTCTAATACTGGGTTCTTTGAACAATTCAACTTGACCCATATACATACAGGATTGTGTATCTGTGGTTTGCAAAGCACTGTGGTAGAGGTGGGGGCATCAGAAATGACTAAAGCAGGCTTCCTGCTTTTGAATTGCTTCTAGTCTTGTGGAAAAGACTGACCTGTTGTAAACAACTTTTTGGAACATGAGGCAGAATGAAATAAATGCCATAACTGAATGAAAAATTAAGTGCTATGTGAACCAGAGGATCACGACAGGGAAAATGGAAGACTTCAGGCGGAGGAGGGATTTGGGGTGGGCCTTGAGGGACAGTAGGATTTAGATAGAAGAAAGCAGGGGAAAAGCATGCCGAGGTCATGGCCCAAAGGAGCACAAGCCTATCTTGTGTGTTCTGTTTCACCAGGGGATATCCGTAGGGTGAGGACCCTGTGAATGGCTGACAACAGAGGAAAGGGGACCAGGCATCAGGGAGAAAGGTCAGAGAGGTGTTAGGAATTGAGATGAGGTTTTTAATGCATTTATGCCCAGAGACCTGGGAAGGCTTAGATCTACTCCACCAGTCAGTTCTCTTCCCAGTTGATTTCTTGATGAAAATAGGGTCAAGGAATAGAATCTAAATGGAGATCTAATTAGTCCCACGTGTACCTAATAGCCCTCAATGCAGAATGCTGGGAAAAGTGCTGTTTTAAGCTTGAAGACTAAGTTGGGCTTTAAATCTCACTAAAGACTTGAATCTGAATCCTCCTAACCAGCTCAATTCTATATAGTGGCAAACAGCAGCATGCTCAGGCATGCATATGGAGATATAATGTATTTGGCCTACCTGGATGTATACTCCCAGCCGTATGAAGATAATAGGACAGATAGCTTTGTGCCTTTAACACATAGCAATCTTGCCCGCAAAGAAAATGTGACATGAAAAATGTTCTAGAATTTTGATCAATCACATTAGTCACTTTCCCTCTCTTGAAAGGTCAGGGCAGGAGCTAGGAAGGGGTGGCAGAGGTCTGCATGACGTGGGGAGGTCTGTCATCCTGTGGTGACAGGCAGCAATGGGTGAAAAGTTGGGGGAACCTCCATGAACCAGAAGGACACAGGTTCTGGTTGGCGGAAAACAATGGGGGCGTGGGGGTGGACTCAGGTCCTAGAAGGCAGTTAGGAGCTGATAAAGTTTGTGGACTCCCTTAGCCACAAAAAGGTGGCTGGTCAAAGGATGGGGAGGTTGACAGGAAATAAGGAGCAAGGTAAGACAAACAAGAGAAGGAACACATGGTACTAACAAGGCAAATGGAAGTATCATTGTCCAGCTTTCCTCTTGTTGAGGTCAAGTCCCTGGTGAATGTCAGGCAATGCTGACCACCAGCAGCTGCCTTGGTAGCAATGGAGTGGGTGGGGGGCATGTGGGGAGACATTTATTTGTGGCAGTGGGAAGCAGGGTGGGCAGAACACATTGTAGGCTCCCCCCCCCCCCCCCCCCCCCCCCCCCCCCCCCCCCGCCAACTGTAACAAGGGAAGTTCTACTGTGTTACATCTTGATGTGCCATGTAAAGACATTCTTTCCTTAAAGAGGGATTTTGATCCTTTGAAATGTTTGGAAACTTTCAGTATGGCAGAAAAGATTGTATTGGAAGTCAGCAAACAGGAGTTTTAGTGCTGATTCTGCCATTTCAGTTACATGACCTTATTAAAAACTTATTACATGAACACTAATTAAAAACTGTAATGATCCTGATGGTCACTAATTGATATTGTGTGTTAAACTGAGTGTGAGATTGTATATGTAATAAGTACCTTATATGTACTACTTAATTTAATACTCACAATAACTCTGTGAGATAGGCATATTATTCCCATTTCACAAACGAGATGCAAAAAGTAACTTGCTCAAGGAGATGCAGCTGATATTAGACCAGTCCTCAAACCCAGGTCTGTCTAACATCAAGGCCTATGCTTTTATTGTACTCATTCTACTGCTCATTATGACTGTCAATCCCACCTATAAGAGATGAATAAGGATCCATTCCTATTCTCCTCAGAGTGTGGTGGGAGATCAAATGAATGAATGTTTGTGAAAACAAAATTATAAGCTAAAAGTGCTTTAAAAGAGAAGCAATTATTACCCTGTTCAAAGCCTGGTACTTAAAAATTTTTGCTGAATGCATGCATATTTAATTTGGAATGCATTCTCTCTCTCTCTATTGATATTTTTTAAGGTCCCAATTGTGTGAAGAAATTGTCTAAGCCGCAGAAAAACCATCTTTAAGAAAATATTTTAGTAGGAAAACTTCCTCCCAAAATTCGGTTGGTTTAAGTGGGTCTAAGAATGATTGTCCTTGGGTGACCTTCGTGAAAGGAATGATAGAAGAGTTCCCTATTTGTTTATTTTTAAGGCAGGGTCTCACTCTGTCGCCCAGGCTGCAGTGTAGTGGCACAATCACACCTTATGCTGCAACCTTGACCTCCCGGAATCAAGTGATCCTTCCACCTCAGCCTCCTGAGTAACTGGGACTACAGGCACACGCCACCACATCTGGCTAATTTTTTAAGTTTTTTGTAGAGACGGGGTCTCACTACGTTGCTCAGGTTGGTCTCAAACTCCTGTGCTCAAGCAGTCCTCCCACCTTGGCCTCCCAAAGTGCTGGGATTACAGGCCTGAGCCATCACACCCAGCCGAACTCTCTTTTATTAAGCACATGGTATTTGTCAGGTGTACGTGATGTCTCATTTAATCCTCAGGTGTGGGTATTATTTTCATTTTACAGGTGAGTGAACTTAACCTTTAAGAGGTTGAGCAATTTACTCAAATTTATCTAGCTCTAAATGCAATCGCGAAACCTAAAATTATCTGCCAACATGAAATGTGAATATAGCCTTGGAGGCACAGTTTGGGAATATCTTATAACCTTCCATGGCCTACCAAGCCAAGAAAAGAAAATGTGTACCACCGCCTATTAGAAAGGCAATTCCCAAAAGGTTTGCATACATAAGAAAAGTTTCAGCAGCCTGTGACCCTGAAGCATGAGGAATGATTTGGGGGCCGGGGCTGGGGGCCGGTTGCGCTCCCTGGAGCCCTGGTGTGAGTCTCTAGCTCTTCCCAGTAGCCTTGGCTCCAACACTCATCTGGCGAGAATTTTGTTTTTCTCCTCAGCATGGCTAGGCTAGAGTTTTTTGATAGTGTTCGACTGCAGCAAGTCTCTACATGAGCCTCTGATCCAGTGTTGGAACAAAGCAACGGCGAAGGGAGGCCCAGCTTGGAATGAGTCAGGCGAAGACTGATGCCTTGTTTCTTGTTAAACACTGTTCTCCCTCCAGGTATGTACTTTTCCCCAACAGTCAAACTCTGTCAACACAAGTCTGGGCTTCCTTCTGCCGCTAAAGCAAACACTGTCGATAGAAGGAAAGGAGAACGAGGTGATGGCTGAAATTCGCAAACCTGTGTTTTCAGATGGAGGATCAAGAGCCCTTTACCTTGCCAAACATTATTTGAATTTTGTAGAACAAACACTGGAGTTTAAGTTACATCCTCAAATTCAATATTTGGCATAGGTGATTTCTCCCACTTGGTGTACCTGTTAATAGCTTTGAGATAATGCAACAGGCACTATCAGAGGATTTTAGGAGTTTGTATGCATTAGTCCACCTCTGTTTTAAGTAGCGAAGAAACTGAACCCCAGAGACGTGAAGTGATTCACCTAGGATTATATAGCTGCTTGAAAATGGACTGTAGAGAACCCCGGGCTCCTACCTCATATTACAGTGCCCTTTCAACTGTATGAGGTTTAATTCTGGTTTTGTTGGAATCTGTATCCACTAAAATAAAGCTATTTGTCTTGGATCAACTTGAAAACACATTCTTTTTTTTTTTTTTTTAATTTCAACTTCTATTTTAGATCAGGAGGTATGTGTGCAGATTTGTTACATGGGAATGTTATGTGATGCTAAGGTTTGGAGTATGGATCCTGTCACCTTGGTAGCAAGCATAGTACCTGATAGGTAGTTTTTTAAGCCACCCCATTCTCCTTTTTCCCTCCAATAGTCCAGTGTCTATTGTTCCCATATTTGGGCCCATATGTGTTCAATGCTTAGCTCCCACTCATAAATGAGAACATGTGGTATTTGGTTTTCTGAAAACCACATTCTTAAGAAGTGATCTGCTGGTAAATAACAGTATTTACTATTGTTAACTATTCTGATTCAATTTACCAGCACCTGTAAGGATGTGGTTAAAGGTACATATTCTAGAGTATGCCTGTATTGCATATCAGCTGCACTCCTTACCAGCTCTATCCTTTTAGGAAGTTTTGTTTACCGCTTTGCACCTCAGTTTTCCTTTTCATAAAATGGGGATTCTAATATCAACCTAAAAGGGTTGTGAGAATCGAGATTATCCATATAACCAAAGTTAGAATGTGCCATGTGCCTAGCAAATGCCCAATAAATGTTAAGTTATTTATTGCTAATCTTACATCGAACCTTGAGAAATGTTAGTTTTGGCTCTGTCATAAACTAGACTCTTCGTGCCTCAGTTTCCTCATCTGTGAGATAAAATTCTTATTCCTTGGCCTTTCAAAACAGAAACGAGTTTATTTACATGCTGTGCAATGGAGACAGTAATCCATTTAATTTATTCATTGATGGGTGAATATTTACTGCATGCCAGCTCTGCCAGGCATCATGTGAGCAAGACTGACAAGTTCTCTGTTTTCAAGGACTTTGCAGCCTGTGGGGGAAGACAGAAAATTAACAAGTAGTTATGGTAAAGGATGATAATTTTTATGATAGTTCAAGCATGGGGTGCTGTGGAAAGCAGGGGTAACTCACATAGTTTGGGGGTGGAGGTGAAGAGGTTAAGGAAGCCTTCTGAGAAATGTTGATTAAACCAAAATCCAGAGGATGGTAATAGTTACCCAAGCAAAGAGAGAGAAAAAAGTGTTCTAGGAAGGGAGAACAGAATACATGAAAATCAGAGGTCAGAGAAAGCAAGAGAATAAGGTGACTCCACTATATTTAGTCTAGTTCGAGATATCATGGATTTCAAGATACACCATCATTTCATATACCCATAAGAAAGAAAAAACATTGCCAGTTAAACTATGGCACAAGATTTTCTTATCACTTAGAGTTTTAATACTTTCTGAAAGAGCATTTTTTATCCTCAATTGGACATGCGTGTTATTATACGGCACTCTATCAAATATAACAAAATAAATATAAAATATGGCAAAATAAAAGTATATATGAAATAATTTGCTTTCAGTATTCCTGAAACTTCACTTTTAGAATCAGATTCTTCTGAAAGACTTGATTCAGAGGCATCGACGTCATGCTTTTCCACACAATATGGGCAAGAGCACTGCAGAGGCAGCATTTCTTAACAGAATTTATGGAAGATCTGAAAACCATCAGGACTTGGCTTTTAAGCTGGGTTTGTGAGTATGTGGCATGAACCTACTTTTGATTCCCACTTGTGTAGTGTTGCTAAACACCTCTGCTTCGCTGCCCACCACCAACTCCCCATTTGGTTCCTAGGGATTAAAAGGATTGTCCAGTGTTGTTTCTGAGATTTTCTTCCAAGCAAACATTCATTCTGACAGTTTTGAAGATGGTGCTTTTTATGTTTGTGCATGCAAAGCCACAACAATTAGTTAAATCTCTTTTGTTTGTTCTGCAGTGATTTCCAGGTAATCTCAATCTCAGCAGTATTAGGATGTGTCAACATTGTGCATCTTCAAGGATAATGGAATGTGGCTGAAGCAGAGAGGGTGTGTGTGTGTGTACACACTCATGTGTGTGTGTTGTTGCAGTGGGCAGGGTGAGGTGAGTAATCTGTAGCTTATCATCAGCTCAAACATCTTAAGGCATTTTGACTTATCCACAAAGTATTTGTTAAGCTAACATGGATAGTAACCAGAGGAATGATAACCCTTGCTGCTGAGTGTAGAATAGATAGAATAGAAGCAAAATAAAATTTAGAGGATTCAGAGAAGAGGCAGGTTTTAGAGGATTCCTGCTTTGTGGGTTATTATTATAAAAAGGAGACAGAATGTTAATCATTTTAGGAGCTCTTAGTGGGGCCTTCAGCCATAAAGATTACTTCTCTAGGGTAGCCAGCTCCCCACCCGATTCCCAGAACATGTGGTGTCTCAGGCAGAGGATTAAACACAGAAAAACTGCTAGCTTTTCACCTTGAATGAATATCCCAGATAACAGAAACTTATCTCTTTAAAAACTAAATTCTCTTTCTAATGAAAATCTCTTTCAATTCAAATTTACATGCCTTCTTACATTGGGGGCTATTAAATATATCTATTTTTAAACTGAGGACTATATTTAAGAATATTAGCATTAACTAAAGTACTTGGTGGCAGTGCAGTGCATTTCTGAAGGCTGTTATTGGGCTGTCAAAACAATTTGCCCCTGTATTTTAAAAATAATTAATACCTAATACTTGTTTCTCATTCTATGGTTTTCAAAGAATGTTTGTATTCATGATTTCATTTGATTCTCACAGCATCTTCCTGTGTCATCTCAGGTCCTCCTTGAAGCAGATGCTAAAATAAAATGAAAAGTGCAAGAGAGTTATTGCGGGAAATGACAGTGAAAGATAAAGGAGAAGATATATAAATAAGCATTATTATATACAAATATATATAAAATGCTCAACATCTCTAATCATCAGAGAAATGCAAATGAAAACCACAAAGAGATATTACCTCAAACTTGTTAGATTGGTTATTCTCAAAAAGATGATGAAAGATAGGGGGTCCAGTTTCATTCTTCTGCATGTGGCTAGCCAGTTATCCCAGCATCATTTATTGAATAGGGAGTCATTTTCCCTTTGCTTATTTCACCATATAAAAATTAACCCAAGATGGATTAAAGATTTAAACAGAAGACCTCATACTATGAAAATGTTAGAAGAAAACCTGGCAAAGACCATTCTGGATATCAGCCTTAGCAAAGAATTTATGGCTAAGTCCTCAAAAGAAATTGCAACAAAACAAAAAATTAACCAATGGGACTTAATTAAATGAAAGAGCTTCTGCACAGCAAAAGAAACTAGCAACAGAGTAAATAGACATCCTACAGAATGGGAGAAAATATTTTATAAACGATGCATCCAATAAGGGTCTAATATCCAGAATCTATAAGGAACTTAAAACATTCAACAAGAAAAAACAAATAATCCTATTAAAAAAAGGGGGCAAAGGACATGAACAGACACTTCTCAAAAGAAGACATACAAGTGGCAAGGAAACATGAAAAAAGTTCAACATGACCAGTTACTGGAGAAATGCAAGTCAAAACCGCAATGAAGTACCATCTCACTCCAGTAGGAACTGCTATTATTAAAAAGTAAAAAAATAACAGATACTGGTGAGGCTGTGGAGAAAAAGGAATGCTTATACACTGTTGCTGGGAATGTAAGTTCAGCCACTGTGAAAAGCAGTTCGACATTTCTTAAAGAACTTAAAATAGAACTACCATTCAACCCAGCAATTCAACTACTGTGTATATACCCAAAGGATAATAAATTGTCCTACCATAAAACCCCAGATACACTCATATGTTCATCACAGCACTATTCACTATAGCAAAGACATAGAATTAACCTAGGTGACTATGGATGGAGGATTAGATAAAGAAAATATGGTACATATACACCACAAAATACTATGCAGCCATAAAAGAAGAACAAAATTACATTCTTTGTAGCAACATAGATGCAGCTGGAGGCCATTATTCTAAGTGAATTAATACAGGAACAGAAAACCAAATACTGCATGTTCTCATTTATAAGCAGGAGCTAAATACTGGATACACATGGACAGAAAGAAACAACTCTAGGAACTACTAGAAGGGGGAGGTAAGGAAGGGGAGGAAGGGCTGAAAAACTACCTACTGAGTACTATGCTCACTACCTGGGTGACAGGACCATTTGTACTGCAAACCTCAGCACCATGCAGTATACCCATGTAATAAACCTACACATGTATCCCTTGAATCTAAAATAAAAATTGAGTGTTGGCAAGAGTGTGGAGGAAAGGGAACCCTTGTACACTGTTGGTATTGTAAATTGGTGTAGCCATTTTGGAAAACAGTGTGGAAGTTCATCAGAAAACTAAAAATAAAACTACCATATGATCCAACAATCCCACTTCTGGGTATATACCCAAAGGAATTGAAATCAGTATGTCAAAAAGATGTCTATACTCCCATGTTCATTGCAGCATTAGTCACAATAGCCAAGATATGGAATCAACCTAAGTGTCTATCAAGGAAGGGATAGAATTTTTTAAAAAATGTGGCATATTTACACAGTGAAATACGATTGAGTCATGTAAAAAAAAAAAACCAGGAAATTCTGTTATTTGTAATGACATAGATAAACCTAGAGAGGATGATATGTTAAGTGAAATAAACCAGGCACAGAGAGACAGACGCCATATGGTCTCATTTTTTTTAAACTCATAGCACTAGAGAGTAGAATGGTGGTTACAGAAGCTGGGGTGGGAGTGGAGGTAGTGGTGGGGTTGGATGGGAAAAGTCTTACAGTAATACTAAAATTAAAAACTGTGATAATAAAAATTAATTCTAATAAACATTACTAGGATAAAGTTGGTCATGGTTACAAAGTTTAAGTTAGGAGGAATAAGTTCTGGTGTTCTATTGCACAGTATAGTGACTATAGTTAAAAGCAATTTATTGTATATTTCAAAATAGCTATTGGAGAGGATTTTAAATGTTCTCACCACTAAAAATGATAAATATTTGAGATGATGGATTTGCTAATTAGTACCTGATTGGATCATTCCATAGTGTATACATGTATGAAAACATCACATTGTACCCCATAAATATGTGATTATTCACTTTAAAATAGAACAAAAAATGAATTGAAAAAGATAAAGGGAAGGGGGAACAGGAACTTGAAAGGGATGGCTTCCAAGTTCAATGCATGTTTGACACGCATGGAAGGACAAGAAGAGGGAAAACTGGGTAGAAAAAGCCTTAGATTGCAGTGTAGCTTTAAGTCTCTACTAGGTTGATGGGGAGCTTCTGAATGAAGAGGGCTTGCTAGAGGAACTTGACAAGCAGAAATGGTTTGGTTCTTGTTCTACTGCCATACTTAGTCACTGGGGAAAAGCAAACTGTGGATGGTGTGGTCCTAGCATGAATGCTGTAGCAGATCCCCAAAATGCAGCAGCTGGAAGCTCTTGGCTAATTATCCTCTTCTGGCAAGTTTTTTTTTTTCTCTCTCTCTCTCTCTTTTTTTATTGACAGAGTCTCACTCTGTCACCCAGGCTGGAGTGCAGTGGCGTGATCACAGCTCACTGCAGCCTGGACCTCCCAGGCTCAAGTGATCTTCCCGTCTCAGGTTCCTGAGTAGCTGGGACTACAGGTGCACACCACGACACCCAGCTAATTTTTGTGTTTTTGATGGCGATGAGCTTTCACCGTGTTGCCCAGGCTGGTCTCTAAGTCCTGGGCTCAAGTGATTCACCCACCTCAGCCTCCCAAAGTGCTGGGATTACAGGCATGAGCCACTGCACCAGGCCAGTTTTTCTTCTTTAAGGGAGATCTTAGCAGCAATCCTTCATGGCTGCCACATCCTGTGAAGTAGGCAGAGCAAGAACTATTAACTCAACTTTAAAGAAGTTTCAGATAATTAAAAATAATCAATGTGATAATGGCAGATTCCTAGGGTTCACAGTTGTCTTACTGGGTAGGTTTTTACAAGTAGTTTTGTAAATTCAATTGTGATAGTCTTCAAAGATGGTGACCATCTATTACTTCCTTTCTGCATCCAAAAGAGGAATCTATGGCTTCTCCCCTTGAACCTGGGCTGGCCCTATACCTTGCTTTGACCAACAGAAGGCAGTCAAAATGTTGATGGCTACAGGCTTTAAGGGGAAAGGTAGCTTCCTGTCTTCCCTCTTAGAAGCCAGCCATTATGTGAATAGTCTGACCAGAACTTCATCCAATTATGAGAAAACATCAGACATCAGACAGAACCAAACTGAGAGATATTCTATAAAGTAATTGTTTTTGTCAGTTCTTGTCAGTGTGTCAAGACCATGAACCAAAGTTGATGAACTGCAATAAATTGGAGGAGAATAAGGAGAAATGACAACTATGTACAATGTGGGATGCTGAATAGGATCTTGGGATAGAAAAAGATCATTAGTAGATCAACTGGTGCAATTTAGTACAATCTGTAGTTTAGTTAGTAGTATTGTACCATGTTAATTTCTTAGCTGTCGTGTATTAAGGTGTCTAAGGTGTTAACATTAGGGAAACCCGGGTGATGAGTATACAGGAATTCTACTCTTTTTATAATTCTTATGTAGGTCTAAAATTAGTTTACAATAAAAAGTTAAAAAAAAATGGAAATGTCTGATCATCCTGACATCTCTGTGCTGAAAGAAAGCCAAAATTAGCCTTAAAGAGAGAAAGGCCACATGGAGGAGCACTGAGGTGCCACACGTGTGAGTATAACCTTTCTGGATCAACCAGCCTGATTTGGCTTTCTGGATATAGTCAGTGAGTGACTCCAATCTACGCCATGTGGGGCAGAAGAGCTTCTCAGCTGAGCCTTCCCTGAATTCCTGACCCAGAATCATGAGGAATTGTGCCATGGTTGTCTTAAGTCACCAAGTTTCAGGGTGATGGTAATGCAGCAGTAGGTTCCTGGAAAGTCCATAGAAGAGGCAGCAGCTCAGATAATCCTGCAGAGTTTCTCCTGGGTTGGGGCTCTTGGAAAACAGGACTGATCCCATGATTGAGACTTTGGTAGCTTTTTCTGCGACGTTATTGAAAGGGTCATCAGGTCTTTGCTTACCAAACAACATTTTCACTTATCTATCTCAAACCTGAAATTCCATCCTTTAGGTAATCCATTAATTTAAGGCAAGCACCATAGAGGGTATCTAGTGTAACAGTAATATTGGGAGATCCACCACAAATGAAAAATCTTTGTTTAATGTTTGAGAAACAATTGGAAAGTTTACTTCTTGAAGATTACCTGTAAACATTAGCAGATGAAAGACTTGAGAAATCCTGCAGTGGAAAAAAATATATAAATAACTTTATTTACCTACCATTTATTCCCCAAATTTATTACCTGGGAATCTTTTTTAATTTTGTTTTTATTTTTGAGACATGTCTCACTCTGTCTCCCAGGAGGTAGTGCAGGGGTGCAATCTCAGCTCTCTGCAGCCTCGACCTCTCAGCCTCAGGTGATCCTTCCACCTCAGCCTTCTAAGTAGTTGGGAGCACAGGTGCGCACCACTGTGCCTGGCTGATTTTTATTTTTTGTAGAGCTGAGGTCTCCCTATGTTGTCCAGACTGGCCTCGAACTCTTGGGCTCAAGTGATCCTCCCACCTTGACCTCCCAAAGTGCTGGGATTATAGAAGTGAGCCACTGTGCCCAGCCACCACAGAATCTTAAGTCTGTGTATGTAAACATTTTTCCATGGAGGCTACTTTAGAAAATGCCATATGAAAGCATCTTGAGCTACAAGGGACTTCAAGTAACAAAAGTGAATCCTCTTTCCTTAGAAGAGATAAAAGTGAGGCTGAGTATCAAGATTAATAAAAAGGTCTCC